TGACCCCCGATTTCTTGAACAACAACTTCCATACCAATAGTTGCTTGCGGCATAGGGAGTAGCTTGCCGTTTGCATCAAGTTCAAAGAGATCGACTGATTTTCCGTTAATTTCTAAGGAATGTGTCTTGAGCTGTTTATTGATTATTTCAAACTCTTCGAGGGTATAGGAACGTTCGAGATCTAAACTGTTGATATTTATTTTTTGATAAACTTTAGACATAGTTCGTAGAATGAAAATTAGATGTGAATTTAGATAAAAATGACGTAAAATTTTTTTCATGTGGTTAGATGATCTTTATACATATATTTGTTGGACAAGATTCTGCCTTACCTTTATTTAAGATAAAGATATTCCAGATAAAGATAATACTTTCAATGATGATATAACCAATGTAGGATGTGAAGGCGATCAGAGGAAGAACGCTGACAATAGGAAAGAACTAAAATGTAGCAGAGGAAGAGATCTTAGGTTATTTATGCAATCTGAAAAAGTCATAGGACTAATTACAACAGACCACAAGTCCAGTAATAACAATTACAAGAAGGATAACCGGGATGCTGACAAAGGCTATTATATAGGTGAATAAAGACATTGATTAGAAAAATTTTTTGAAGACCTGGTCATTATATATCCCTATGACATTATCAGCCTCATCTTTATTTCTGCCGGAGTTAATTTATCTAGTTTAAGCATTATCGTTATCAATCAATCAGTCTCTGTACAACTATTGTTACCAAGTTTTCTTCTTTATTCGAAATCTAGTTTAAATACAGGGACGGACAAGCAGATAAAGTTATTTTTGAGACGTGAATGATTTAAAAGACGATAAGAAAAGAGGAAACGAGTTAAAAGACGTGAACGAGGGAGCAATTACGCTCATAAGACACGACGAGGACATGGACCTGTGTCCAGTGGTAAAAACTCGACCAAGAATACGTTAGACATTGTCACAGACGAACATAAACAAACGGTTAAAAATTATAAAACTTATACCATTACAGGTCATCCATGGTAAGTAACAACTTTGCAACGCAAGTGTCGAGAGCATAGAATAGAGTGTAACGAATTTTCTATCCATCCGTCCATTTGGTATTACTATTTGTAACATTGACTGATATGTACTTTTTTTCCGCGTTTGTTTGTATCTGCTTTCGTTCTGTCAATAACCTTCCTGTCACTGCTGCAGGTTTGTACTATTCTTGTTGATGCTCTCAAACTACTCGCTGTCATCTTTTATTCGACTAAAAGGCCTTTCGAAGAATAGGCCCTTCCATGATTTCACTATGTTCTGGAATAGATTGAAGGAAGCTCGAGATGGTTCATTCACCTTCAAGGAGTTCATCTGTTTGGTATAGAGGAGCTTGGTTCTACCATTTTTGTGCGTCAACAATATCGTGACTTTGTCGAGGTGATTCATACGGAAAAGAACGTTTCGTGGCTGGTGTAATCCGGGAGTTGGGAAAAGTCTTTTAAGTTACTATTTGTTTTACTTACTTACACGAACACAACAGACTATGATCTTGCATCACCATCTGTAGAATCCTTTAATATACTCCAGTGATCGCGTGTGAATCTTTCACCTGAAGAGTTTAGATTTCGTCTTGAAGAACTGGATGTTTGGTACATTGTTGACGTGTACCCAATGGACCGCGTATGTTCTTCATACAAGTCAACAACCTGGACACTAAAAGAAATTCAAGCATGCCGTCAACTATGTTCTCCCTGTCTTGGTGAGAAGGAGGTTGAGAAGCTGTATGACATGTGAGGCAGCATTCCACGTTTCGTTCTAGAATCGGCACGAAACCCAGAAAAACAACCACATATTTTCAGTTATATAGGCGAGATTGATTCTCCAAAAGATAGCTTGATGCACATATGCACAAACGTTCTCACAGAGGAAATTAAGAATATATGAAAGGTGATACAAGGATGACAGAGAGATGAAGTTCAAGGTTCCGTGATCCATGAGATTCGCTTCTGATTACGTTGCGCAGCGAGTGCTTTGACATTTTAGATACATACTTTCATGAGGATTTGCATCGTTCCCTCAGCTTAGGTATTCTTCGCAGTCTTGTATTGCGAATGGAGGTACCTTTCAGATACAGTCTCTGGACGAAGATGCTAGAGATGAACGGCTCATTAAGTGCAATCACCTCCTGACTTTGGAATAAATTAGAGACCAAATCTAATTGATGTATACTCTGAAAATTCATAACAATAGAAGAACGACATGGCTTATAACATAATCATAATGAAAATTTTACCACGATTCCTTTGGTGCAATGCTCTTTCATATTAATAAATATAAATTCGTTATCGCCATATGAATATTATATAGTCGTAGCGATTTGAACTACATAAAAATCCCTCAACTGATCAACCGAAACGACCTTCGGAACAATATTGTTTGAAGTATTCGGCGATGCGTTGGCGAGCGATGGTTTTTGATGGACTTTCGTTTCTTCTTCTATTCATTTCTGCTATTCTTTCGTTGCATTGGACAGGCTCTCTTCGTGGTGGCGGCAATTGAGGCTGCACTTGTGGTTGTGGCGCTAGTGGTCGTTGTGGTGGTAATGGTTATATTTGTTGTTGGGAGGATAGAATAAAATGTGGCGATGGTGATGACACAACTATTTGACGTGCTTCTCTGTATGAAGTTCCAAAAGTCACTGCAAGTTCAGCCCATGAAGAATCAT